AGCTAAAAGGAGTAAAGTCACCTGGCAGCCTTTACCTATTAGCTTTGTCAGGGTTTACAAAGCTGAGGTCATACATTTCTCAGAGTATTACAGGCATTGTACCCTGCCAATGGCTGATTAAGGAGGTGGCAGTTGAGGGCACACTCTTTTGGAGGCAGCCCCTAACAACTGACTGAGCAAGGTGGTGGTAAAAGGGCCTGGCCATCTCCACCTAATGTAGGATTCTTCAAATGGTCAATCTGTGCTCCAGAGCTCTTCACTAAGCTGATAGAGGCCTCATCACAGTCTCACTGTTCCTCCTACTTCCTCTATTTTCCTTGTACAGCTGCTGCTCCTCAACAGAATGCCTGCACCCTGACTTCTGTCACAGCATCTGCTTCCCTGGGTCAATAGATTGCAACAATTTTAAAGAAGAAAACACTTCCCCCAAGTTCAAAGTAATCTACCAGAGTAGGGTGTTAAATGTGAATTTCTTCTCCTAAAGCCATAAAGTGATATCACACTGAAAGAGATTCCATGATAGAGTCTAAAAACCAATTACAGGATTTACCTTAGTTGAGGGCATACAACAGTTGGGTTTTTGGAGACTAAGAGAGGAAGGATTTTTGGACTGAATAGCTCTACAGATAACTGTGTTTACCATTGACCCTCCTCCTACCTCTCCCCCAAAAGATGAGGCATTAGGGGTGCTTGTTCCTCACGTCAGGCTTATGAAAGGCTTTCAGTAGGATCACTTGGAGTATTTGTTCCTCACACATACAGTGGCCCAGTGTCCAATTCATGCCAAAGAATTCTCACAGAAGAGAGGCCTGAGTCATTTAAATCCTGCCCAAGAAGATCTCCAAGAGGGGTGGTGCATGTGGCTCAAAGGAGTAGGGCACCAGCCCCATATACACAAGGGAGAATTTGACTTGACTGGATTGGGAGAGAAATGTATTACCCATTTATGGAAATGGCTGTTAAATGTCCTCATGGGGCCTCTTAAGAGCCCCACCTCTACTCCAGCCCAGGACTCAGTTTAAAATCCACCAGCTGAGTTTAGAGAACCTTAGTTAAAAGGTCCAGTGATTTAGAGAGGGACTAATCAGAAAGGATTTTTCCTTGCTTTTCTCATTTGCTACCATCCCCACACTCTGCTTTGGGTGGTACACTTTTCATTAGAATCTCACCAGCACAGAGCATTTGCATTCAATGTTCTTATTAGAAAGGAAACATTTTCAAAAGATTAATTAGAGGTTGCCTGGGACTCATCCTGTTTTATAAACACCTAGAAGGCAGGTGTAAGAGTCAGAGGGACAGAAAATAAACCATCTCCAGGTGCCATCAACATCATTGCTGTTTATCCTCCAGTGCCTTATCAGTGAAGTCACTGAGTCTCTAGACAATTATAACTCTAAAAAATCACTACTTCCTTGATTAAACCTACCTGTATTTTCATCCTCATTTGGGGCTTGGGGAAGTGTGGAAAGCATCTTATTTCTTCCTAAAGATACATATTCCCTGCTGTTTGGCCAGAGCTGCTTTGGAAAATACTTTAAGAGTCTATTTATCCCTGGCTTCAAAACTAGCTTCCTTTTCAAGAAATCGATTTGTACTTCTCCATCCTATATGAACTTGGGCTTGTCACCAATGGGATCTGATGATCTACATAAAGAACCACTGGCTACTTTACAAAATGCTACATTTTCCTTTTCTCACAGTGTAGAATCTTTTTTTACAAGTTCATGGCCCATGACTAATGGGAATGCCATGGAGTATAAAAGTTTTCTCCAATTACAGTATTGACCAAATCTACAGGTGATAATAAACCATGTTGGGAATGTGCACTTGTGACACAGGAAACCTCTACATTGTTTGTGTATTTGATAGTTTGGGCCTGTGAGGAGCTGGTTGGGGCAGCCCAATTCCTTAAACTCTTCCTCTTCCAACAAGATGAAAGCACCAAACCCAGCTTTGCTCCTCCACAGCAAAATATACTACTTCACAAAGAAAGGAAACTGCAGTTTTAAAATGCTTTGGGAATGAGAAGACTTCTAAAGAGATCACTGAGGGCACTCAGGACCTGATGGCCTACCACTAAGGACCACATTCTAATGGTCCTTAACAACTTTTCTGGTAGTATGCTTTTTACTTTGCATCTCTGATCAGCAAATGGCCTTGCAAATAGAAGGCACTAATTAACTGATGGAATGCAGAATGCCGAAGCCTTTTTCTAAGGCAGGGCTCCTCAAACTTTTTAAACAGGGGGCCAGTCCACTGTCCCTCAGACCATTGGAGGTCCAGACTGTGGGTCCCGGGATGAGTCGGCTGCTAAGCAGGACAGGCAGTGGTGGCAAAAACACATGGCAGGCCAGATAAAAGTCCTTGGTGGGCCAAATGTGGCCCACGGGCCGTAGTTTGAGGATCCCTGTGGGAAAGACAGATGGGAAAGACAAGTAAAAAGAAGCCAAAATGGTTGTCCCCAGTCCTAGGCTATCGATGTTTAATTTACTTGTTCAAACACAACCTCTGGGCTTATCTGATTTCACATTTTGCCTGGTACAGGCCAGCTGGTCTTGATCACAAGGTATGCAGAGTAAGCAACTATAGTTGTATTGACACAAACCCTTAACCATTCCTGATAAACTAAGCAAAATAATCCTCTATGGTAACATCAGTAATATCATGTCTTTTTGGGAAAGATAACATAGTCCAGGCCTCAATTCCTCATTCAGAGGTTTTCCCAGATGAAATCAGGCAATATAAAACATTTACAAGAAGACTGATATCTCAGTCTGTTTGTGCTGCTATAACAAAATATCCAAGATTGGGTAATGTACAAACAACAAAAGTTTACTTCCCAAAGTTCTGGAGGCTGAGCATTCCAAGATCACAGCGTTAGCTGGTTTGGTACCTAGTGAGGGTTGCTCTCTGCTTCAAGATGGCACCTTGATGGCACCTGTTGTTGCATCCTCTGAAGGGGACCAACACTGTGTCCTCACTTGACAGAAGAGCAGAAGAGAACAAATCCTCTTCCTCAAGGTCCTTTATGAGGGCCTTAATCCTGCCCATGAGGGCAAAGCCCTTATGACTTAATCACCTCCTCAAGGCCCTGCCTCTTAAGACTATCACATTGGAGACTAAGTTTCAACATATGAGTTTTGGAGGACACATTCTGACTATAGGAACTGGTTAGATAGACACCATATTAACATTTCCAGGTAAGGGGAGGTATGAAGAACACCAGCCTGTGAAATTTCCTGCTAGAAAAAATTTTTTCTTGTTCCAAAAATTATGGGAACCACTTCATACTATTTCCTTCTCTTGGAATGTCATAGCATATATTGACTTCCAAGGGTTCGAAAAAAATCCCAGCAGTTAAAGACGCAACAACAAAAAACATACTTATGCAACCATGAAAGGTCTTATTGTAAAACCTATTATGCATTCTTATAGATTTGTTTCTCCATAGAACACACTTTAAGAAACACTGAACCTCATGTATATTCTCACTCAACAGTATGGTTCTATATGCTGGGTCAATCCAGAAGTCAATACTCTCAGAAGAATAAGGTGGCTTTGGGCTCATTCATATGGGTCTGGTGTTGTCACCAGTTTGGGGAGAGCAATGAAAGTCCTTCTCTGGGGAGAAGCAGCATAGTGTTGTGTAGTGCTCACTAGGTTCAGGTCAGGAACTTTAGAAGAAGCCCAAAGCCCTATAAGCACCATATGCTCCACTCCATAAATACTATAATTCAAAATAAACCCAACCCCAAATTATAAAGCAAATATAAGGAAGTGTAACAAAATTCTGACTGATTCCACAATGACAACTTCAACTTTTTTTTTTTTTTTTTTAGGGACAGAGTCTCACTTTATCGCCCTCAGTAGAGTGCTATGGCATCACAGCTCACAGCAACCTCAAACTCCTCGCCTTAGGTGATTCTCTTGCCTCAGCCTCCCCAACAGCTGGGACTACAGGCACCCACCACAATGCCTGGCTATTTTTTTGCTGCAGTTTGGCCCAGGCCGGGTTTGAACCCACCACCCTTGGTATATGGGGTTGGCGCCCTACTCACTGAACCACAGGCACGGGCTGACAACTTCAACATTTTAAATATCAATAATTTTTTTGCAGTTTTTTTGGCTGTGGCTGGTGCCCTAGGTGCTGCCCTAAATATCAAATTCTTTTTTCTTTCTTTTTTTTTTTTTTTTTTTTTTTTTTTTTTGTAGTTTTTGGCCAGGGCCTGGTTTGAACCTGCCACCTCCGGTATATGGGGCCAGTGCTCTACTCCTTTGAGCCACAGGCGCCGCCCTAAACATCAAATTATTTCCAAAAACTCAGTATACTTGCTTTGCTGATGCCCCAAGCACATGTTTGTCTGTGTTAGGTTACTAGTCTTGCCAATATTTACATCGCAGTATGTAAATTATATCAGTCATTCATTAACCTCAAGCTCATCATCAGTTCACTTCTTTTGATGTCAGTTGAAATGGCGTAGGAGATTAAACTAGTCTAGATAATTGTTAAGATTTCTTCCAGCTTAGGGATCTGGCAGTGGCTCAAGGAGCCACTTCCCCTAGCCTGACATACCAATTCCACTACCCCGTGGCCAACCCACCCACTGGCTTAGCCACCGCCACCTCCCTTGCTCCTTGAGTGCACCGGAGAGCAGGCCAGCAGCTTGAGCAGAGGCCCGGGGCGACGCGGCACAAAGAGAGCAGGCGAGCGGACAGTGTGAAAGCCAGTCTCTATATAGCGGCGGCTCTGTCGTGCCTGGCTGTCGGGCTCTCACACTTGGCCGCTCCCAGCTCTTATGGGATCTTCTGCAAGGGGATGACTCGAATGCTACTCGTCTTCCATCTGGCCTGGCGGATATACATCAATTTCCCCTACCTCTACATTGTGGCTTCCATGATGCTCAACGTCCGCCTGCAGGTTCATATCCACATACGTTGAAGGCCCTCCCCTAACTAATGAAGGTGTGACCTCAGGCTCACTGCATCCAGACACACAAAGCATGGGGGACAAAAGAAGGCCTTTTGGCACTTGCTTGGAAAAAGTGAAGTGGGAGAGAGGAGCTCACTGGATCAAACCATTATCTAGCCTTAAGAAAAGAATGCAGGAGGAGAGCCCACATCCAGCAGATATACCTTCCTGGACCCATAACCCTGTGGTTGATGTAAATGGAAATCCACAAACTGAGACGATATCATTGGAAATGCAAAGTGATCTGAATGGGGCTGACCTCTTGCTTCACAATGGCAACAAAGTGCTTCTTCCATATTTAAAAGAATCAATAAGAAGAAATTCATATTCAGAAGTCACTCCAAGCAAAGCCATGGGTCTGTTCTCTGTTCCTGCAGAAGAGCATTTTCCTGGAGTGTCCTGTGTGTGGTGTTATGGAAGCACTGGGGAGGGACTGGCTGGGAAGAGGGCCCAGAGCCATGGGCAGCCACTGAGGACAGTGCTTCAAAGGAGAGTTTGGGATGTCAGGACTGCCTTACCATCAAGAACTGTTGGGAATGGAAATTTATACGGATGACCCACCAAATGCTTTTACTGAGGTTCTGGGCTCTGAGTTGGAACCGTCTTCCCTGCATTCTGTCCTGTCTGCAGTATTGCACACATGTCCTGAAGTACTCCTGAATGATGAGACAAAACACGCTTTCCTTGAACATTTAAAACCTGTGGTTTCACTATGGTTTATCTTACAAGGGTACAAGCGAATCTTTCTAAAAGCAGAGTATGAACATTTTAACTCAATAACTAAGAAAATGACATGAAGGTTATCTTAACCAGTTTGATGAGAGTATTTCAAAATGTATATAAAAACAGCACACTGTACCCCATGATTGCATTAATGTACACAGTTATACTATAAGAAATTTAAAAAAATTTTTTTAAAAACCCATGGTTTCAAAGCAAACAATAGAATATAAGAAAATGCTTTCAAGTGTAGAAAGTACCCCAAGTAGTCTGCAAATAACATGGGAGTTACTGGCTCTATAACCTTTTGAATTAGCAGATCCATTATGCCATAGTTAAGGTACAAGCAGAACAATAAAAATAGATTAATTTAAGAAAAAAAATTCTTCCAGCTTAAATTTCTGTGACTTTCCCCTCTTGCTGTTGTATTAACTGTCTTTGGACTTCAGCCTGACATTGTACGATTTCCCAGGTGCCTAAATAGGCAATGTAGATGCCCACCCACCTTCCTTTGGCACTTCTTTCATTCCCAGACCTGCCACATAATTGATGGCTTCTGACTTTAGACACTACAACACTTTGCCTGAGGTCTTCTCCTGACCATTCGAACTCACTCAGCCTAGATTGAGTGAGCTAGAAGTGGCCAGAATTAATTTCCTCTGGAGTAGGCCTCAACCAATGACTGGTGAGTTTGTCTACAAATATCCCAACTCTCTGCCCTTCAGTCAGGGTAAGTCTGAGGTGTATGCTCTACACTTTCTCCTGAAATCCCACTAAAGGATTAAACTTTAGTTGTCCATAGTGGTAGCTGGCTTGATAATTGATCTTTATGGGTTTCTTTCACTGTTGTATCTCAGCTCCCCCTTCCCCTACCAATATTTCTTGGATCACCTCTCAGATAATCTACCTGCACTCAAATCCAAGTTTTAGAGTTTGTTTCTGAGGCACCCAAACCAAGACAATAGCCAGTATCCATTCTACTTTCTTCCTCCATATCCACATCTTATTTTGGTTTAGCTATCAAACATGCAAAAAAATTATATTCCTATCCATATCTTTAGAAATAGAGCCAAACTGACCACAGTAATCTCAGTTCTCTTTCCAGTGATGAGGGTAGGATTTGATCCAATTCTAGCCAATGAGAAGGGAAAATTCTGGGAAATAGTTTCTTGCTCCATAAAATGACACACAAAAATGGAGATGTTCCTATTCTTCCACTGGAAATTGATGTCATACAATGGTGCCCAGAATTGCAGCCACTAATTGTGACCAGGGGAGCCAGCCTAGAGGGTTAAGTGACTCATTTAATATGCAAAGTGGAGAGGTGGTGAGATCCTGCCTCCTTGATGACATATTTGAGCAGCTGGAGTCTACTGAACATCTAGACTTCTTACATGAGGTAATATAACTTGTACATTTACAACAACTTCAGTGGGACTAGTCCATTACTTGCAGTTAAAGATATCCTATCTGATATAACTTCCCAAATATTTTAGAAACCAAAGCAAAATGTTTTCTTTTGAAACCCTGCCATTTGAGAAATCAAATCCAGCATAATTTTTAGCAGATGTCTAATGATAGGTTTAATAAATTATAGCACATACTATACATCCTTGAAAAACCCTCTTTTAGGGAAAAATATTTAATGACACAGAAAACTATTTCAGTGTATTTTTAAGTGAAAAATCAAATATGGTATAAATGTATTTACATCTTCCAAGATTCTCTTAATACATTGCCTTTATATTTGTAAAAAACAGTATTAGAGAAAATAACCTACACTCATTCAAGTTTTCCTTCTTTTTCTTCCTTCTCAGAGAAAGGACCAAGTGTTCAGCAGCAAAAGACACATGTAGAAGTAGAAAGTGGCCAAGACTCTGCAGTGAATTATGTTTCAAAAGATCAGCATCAGGCTATTTGGGGCAGAAATGTCAAGACAACCATTTATTTTGGTACTCAATGGTTAAGGGCAATATAAAAAGGCTTCTAACATCTTGATGGGCATACCTGTTTCCCTTTCTGTCAAAGACACTCACCATTGGTCATATGCTGTACAAGCTGGTTAGTCTTCAGGAGGGTGGCAGAAGTTGAAGAAATATATATGAGCTAACTTTCTAGAAAGAAAGGAGGGATTCTTTGTAAGAAGGAAGAAAGAAATCCAAAAGGAAAACCAGAAGCAGAAAGCAGAGAGAAATTAAAACCAGGATTGTGAGTGTAGTGAAAGGTTAAAAATAGTTCAGGGTTAAAAAGAAAGAGGAGAAATAGCATGAAGAAGCCAGATTGCTGGCCAACTTTCTATGGATAATAATCTGGACATCTGAAATTGCCAACATTTCATGGCAAATATAGGCTATATCTTTGCAGGCACCAACAGTTCGTGCAGTGGTCCCTGCTGGATAGACAGGAGAGAGAACAGGCCAGTCCCATGTAGCTTAGCTTCTTTGGATGTATTGCCAAAACACATGGAAAGCTTTTGGAGAACTCAATAGAGAACTTTGCAAATCTAGGGATTCCAGAACAAACTCAAACTACCTCTTGAGAGTCAGCATGATAGAGTGGGCAGTGCATTGTGTTATGCTTCAGAACAGCAGATCTAGTCTCACCCCACCAGTTTTAGTTGCCAAATAGGTCTCTAAAGTACTCCCTAAAGGATCCCTGATTAGATTATCTCTCAATAACTATTCAAGAACAACCTAACATTTCAAATAAAACAATATAATTAATATTTTTTTAAAGCTGAAAATACTACTCATGAGGAAGAGCCAGCAGAAGAATCCTGGCAACATAAAAAATCAGAACAGATCAACTCCCCTGAGAGATTACAAGGGAGATATAGCAGAAAATACCATCCATAGAGAAATTACTGAAATGTCAGAAATAGAATTCAGAATATGGATGGCAAATAAGATGATTGGAATTGAAGAGAAAATGGAAATATAAATTTAAAAAAATAGTCCAAAAGTTGCCTCAAGAAATTAGTGAATTTAAAGACAAAGTCACCAAGGATATGAACATAATGAGGAAAGATACAGCAAAGCTTAAGGAATTGAAAAATGGATTCAAGGAGCTTCAAAACAAAGTAGAGAACCTCAGTAATGGAATAGATGTGGAGAAGATAGAATTTCAGAAATTGAAGACAAGATTTTTGAATTATCCCAATCATTTGAAGAGGCGGAGGGCAAGGGGGAGAGAATATTCCCTGAAAGAGTTGTTGGGTTATTCCAAAATATCAAACATCTGAATTATAAGGATTCCTGAGGAAGAGGATAGTCCTAAAAGCATTAATGCTCTACTCCAAGATGATGCTCCATCATGATGGAGAACTTCCCAAGCATTGAGAGAGACACAGAAATTCAGATAGTAGATAGTTTCAGAACCCCAACATGACTCAATCCAAACACAGCATCTCCTAGACACATTATAATTAACTTTACCAAAGTCAATATGAAAGAGAAAATCCTACAAGCAGCTAGGTGTAAAAAAGTTTTATGTGCAAAGGGAAAAATATCAGATGACCACAGATCTCTCAGATAAAACTTTTCAAATCAGAAGAGGATGGCCACTAGCCTTTAATCTTAAAAAAAAAAAAAATTCATATCCTGCTAAACTGAGTTTCATTTGTGATGGAGAAATCAAATATTTTACTGACTTGCAAATGTTGAGGAAATTTCTCATAACTAGACTAGCTCTGCAGGAAGGACTCAGACCCATTCCTCATAATAACCACCATAATGGTCCATCACCAAAGTAAACATACCCAGAAATTAAAGAACAAAGCCTAGCTTTCATAATGGGGTAAGAGACAAAAAATACACTCTGGACCTCTGAAAAACAAGATAACCAAAACTCTACCATACCTATCAATTCTCTCAATAAATATGAATGGCTTAAACTCCCCACTAAAGAGGCACAGGCCAGCCAGGGGCGGTGGCTCACAGAAGTAATCCTCTGGGAGGCTGAAGTGAGTGGATTGCCTGAGCTCATGGGTTCAAGACCAGCTTGAGCAAGAGCAAGACCCAATCTCTAAAAATAGTTGGGTATTGTGGGAGGCGCCTGTAGCCCCAGTGACTTGGGAGGCTGAGGCAAGAGAATCACTTGAGCCCATGAGTTTGAGGTTACTGTGAGCTATGATACCACAGCACTCTACCAAGGGCAACAAAGTGAGACTCTGTCTCAAAAAAAATAAAAAATTAAATAAAGAGGCACAGGCTGGATGACCAGATAGAAAAGCTCAAACCCAAGTTCTTTTATATCCAAGAAACACATTTAACTTCTAAGGATAAAAAATGACTCTAGGGAGCAGAGGCAAGATGGTGGACTGCAGCCAGCTTTTTGCAGAAGCTCCTGTCCAGAAGGAGGCTTAAAGGACAGAAATTTAGCAAGGGAGCTGATGGTTTGGAGTGGAGCCAAGAGAGAAGATTGAAGAGCGCACTTCAACCTTCCTGAGGTGAGCTGTGACCCCAAAAATACAATCAAAAGGTACAAAATCCACCACCAAGCGGATGGGAGTCCCCTCCCACACAAGAAGGGCTTGCAGTTTACTCTATGCAAATAAGCAAGCAGAGTTCAAACACCTTCCCACTCTATCCCACGGGAGAGACCCCTAAAAACTGGACCTCCTACCCCTGCAGGCATGCCACAGCATCCTCCTGCCAGGCATAAAACTGTAAAACTGTATAAAACTGTATATATGCCCCACCTGTAACATTGAACTCTGAAGATTCCCCCCCTTCACCCCAAGGTCTGGGGGTTTGTTACCTATGGAGTCCAGATTCTTGGGCATCTCCTTGACAGAAGTGGAGGGAAAACACACTGGTGCTGCTCTCTGCTGACTGTGGTACAAGAAGGAGGAGAAGAAAGTTGGCTCGGAGGAAGCTATAAAGCAACACTGGCATCCTGAGCTGCGAACTGATGCCACTCTAGATAGGCAAGCCCCGTCTCTCTGGGCAACAATAGGTTCCGGACAGCAGCCACAGGCAGAACAGACTTCATAACTTTTGTAAGTAAAGAGACCATTAGCACCAGCCCTCAATGGAATATAGCTGAGACAAGGCAGTGGGTGGGCAGAGGCTGGAATTGACACCTGAGTGTAAATTCTAATTGTTTGCTACCCAGAGCTGAGTTCCTCATCAAATCTAGCAGCCTTTGACTTGCAGAGGAATTTAGCTGGGACAGAAGACGAGGGACTGGAATTGAGAGAACTTTCACAGCCTAATTTAAACATGCAAGGCTCCCTGCTGGACTCAGATTTCCAGGTGATTTTGAAAGTTGTAAACCCTGGGAGCAGTTGCCTACTGTAGTGA